TCTAAATCTAAATATTAAATCTAAATCTAAATGTTAAATCTAAATGTTCTGGGTGAAACTAAATATTTAGCTAATATGCAAATTCACACTGCCGGTCACCAAAAGTACCAAAATAAAAGCTCAAGATGGTCAGGCTGTGTTTATCGAATCAAATAACGAATTAAAATGTAAAATGGAAATGGACACTTGAACATACACTAGCATGATAATAACTACCTAAAATAACAAGAAACTAACTTGGAGAAATTTTATTTGATGTGTACTTTGAGTTGTTAGTGTCCCTTCAGAGGGAATCACCTTGTTGTTTACAAATACTTCCGGGTAGAAACCCAGCAGAGTTTAGCTACATATATATATGAATATCTCACATTTTTCACGTCACTATATCACTGTTTAGACTAATCTGGTGTTTATAAAGTCTATAAACACAATGATTGGACAAACATTACTATCACGTTCTGAAATTGATAACATGATTATTGTAGATTAGCGGGGCTAAGCGTTAGCTGTTAGCCCCGTTAGCAGTGTTTGTAATGACTCATTAACTCTAAACGGTCCGTGAAAACAATATTTTTCTCCAGCGGATGTCTTCGTTACAACATGATTGAGCTAACTGGAGTAGTGTCATGTCGTATCCGACAACGGGAGGCTTTTAACAGATGACGTCCCGATGTTAGCTTTGCTGCTGCTGCTGCTGCTGCAGCCACTGATGCTTTCTAGACATTGTGATTTCCCAAAACTGAATAAATACCACACATCGCAACACAAAACTGCTTTGCTAGCTCAATCATGTTGTAACTAAGACATCCCCTGGAAAAAAATATTTTTTTCACGGACCGTTTAAGAGTTAATGAGTCATTACAGACACCGCTAACGGGGCTAAGAGCTAACGGTTAGCCCCGCTAATCTACGATAACCATGTTATTTAAAAAACGTGCACACAGAAATAGTAATGTTTTTTCAATCATTGTGTTTATAGACTTTATAAACATCAGATTAGTCTAAACGGCGATATAGTGACGTGAAAAATGTGAGATATTCATATATATATGTAGCTAAAGTCTGCTGGTTTTCTACCCGGAAGTATTTGTTAACAACAAGGCGATTCCCTCCAAAGGGACACTTACAACTCAAAGTACACGTCAAATAAAATTTCTCCAAACATGTTTCTTGTTATTTTAGGTAGTTATTATCACGTTAATGTATGTTCAAGTGTTCATTTCCCCTGATAAGTTGGTTTTAATTCGTTATTTGATTCTATAAACACAGTCTGACCATCTCGAGCTTTTATTTTGGTACTTTGGTACTGACCGGCAGTGTGAATTTGCATATTAGCTAAATATTTAGTTTCACCCAGAACATTTAGATTTAGCATTTAGATGTAACATTTAGATTTAATATTTAGATTTAACATTTATATTTATATTTATATTTAGTACTTTACGCTATTGTCCTATTTTTCCCAGCGTCACCGCCCTTGAAAAAGCGCTATTTTGTACTTCAATAAAAATCCAGTTGACGCCCTGCAGCACGACGCTTTTTGTGTGTGTTGGGGCGGCACTTGACTCATGTCAGTGACGCCGCCGGTGTGTTTTGGCCTTTAGAGTGCAGCAAGGGCCACATATTTCTGTCTGAACCTGACAGTCATTTTGTTTTGTTATGTCCGAAACCGAACCGAGCCCGACATTATTTAATTACTAAAGCACTGAGTTTGTGTCACACAGTTGTTATGGTTACAGGCTATTTAACGTGTGCTGTGGGTGCTCCGCTGAGAGGGAGACCTCTATGGAAAGCCAAAAGTGCCATATATCGCCACTATTTCAACGCTAAGACGCCGCTTTTTATGGCAGTTTTTAATTTAAACGCCGCAAAAAAGCAGCATTTTACTTGTCTAAAGTGCTGCTTTTTTCGGTGTTTTGCTGGGAGCCTTTAACATGACAACGTGCCGTAAAAACGCGCCTGTTTTTTTAAGACGGGCGTTGTAGAGAGCCACAGTAGACACCCCTTTTTACTCCGTAATAACTGTCCGAAGAACGCCGTTCTTCCAGATGATAATGAGCCCTGCCCTCTGTTTAACACAACCAATAAGTTCAATGTTTCTGACACCAATCAGCAGAGAGCACAGCGAGACCAAAACAACGGATCCACAAGACTTGGCTGCTGTGTTGCTCTTTTGTATTGCTAGAGGAATTTACTAAAATTCAAAGGATTAATTACTGATCTGCATGAAAGTATAATCACCGTGGCTGGAAACGCTGTGCTCAGAATTTATCGGTATATAAAATAAATAGGCTAAACAAAACCTTAATCATCGTATTGTACATTTAACCGTGAACCAACCAGAGCACTAGCCTACCTCTGTGAGAGACTTGGGCTTGCTAACTGTGTGTGTCAGCGTCATAAGTTTTCCCCCTTTGCAGCACTTCTAAAAGTGGTTTGCCTCTAGCTCTGTGTCAAATAATGCCTACAATATTTTTCAAAATGTATGAAGTCCAAATGTATTACTTGTCATGCAATTTCTATTTATTAGTCTTGCTTTTTGTTTTGTTTTTATGTCATAATTATCTGAACAATCCTAGCTAAAACATTCATTTTGAGATGCTACTTGTTACAGTTATTTCCATGTTCACCAGTAATCATTAGCACAATTTCTAATGTAAAACATATCAAGTTGCCACATCTGATCTCTGCTAACTGGTGTGATCATTAGGCAATGTTACACATTTTAACCACAGGGTGGCCGTAGTGGTTAAAACTGGCTTTTCCCAGCTGCTGGAGCTACAAGGCTTCAATCTGTCGACCACACTCAATCAGCTATTATTTTTTATTTCATCATAATTCTTGCAGTTACTAAAACGATGTTGCACTGGAAATTAAGCTTCTATTATTCAAACTTGACTCACCTTTACATCCTCCACAGCTTTTTTTTAAAATACATTTCCAGTGCTGTAAATTGTTCAAATGTGTGCAGTTTAAATGTAAA